ACTTGAAAGTCAGAGATGATGGTTTTTTCGTATGGATTATATGAATGCGGATAAGTTTAAGCGTAGACATGCCTATTTACAATACCGTTAGAGCGAACGCTGTACTTTCTGTATCAAAGGTTTCTCCTTCCCCCGGAAGGGGGCGACGCCACGTGACAAGAGCGCATATGATTGGTATCTGACATTTGAACATTTTGTAGAAAATATATTATATTGAAACAATTATTAATGATAATTGTTAACGCATGAGTGTGAAGTTTCTCCTTTACATATACAAGTAAACTTTACTTGATTAACGTAACATCTAATTTCATACAATACTGTTTCTACGTCGAATGACTAGTTGATGTTGAACCAATTTACCATTTCTGCCTTTGCTCGTTGTTTTTCCGGGATTAATTACAAGCCAGGTTCACTGCCACCAATGTTTTAGTTTTCTGCTCTGTCGTTCTGCTTTATCGTCAGCATTCCGTTGTAGCACTATAAATCTAACAGAATGCGAATCGGTAATTGGGTGCAGACAGGGTCGATCAAAACGCTTGGGAGGGCGAAACGACAAATCGCCAAGTACGCTTACATTTTCTGAATATATCCTAATTAAACTATTGGGAGAATTTCTTTCCGAATTTTCTAGATTGGAACATTTCAAAGACAGAATAATATATTAGGCACCTAAATATGGGTTGTGTCCCTGGCAGTTACAAATTAATACCTTTCACTTAGCGCGCATTGAACTCTCTATAGGAGAAGACTATATTTGACATTCTCCTCACCCTCAATTACTATTCCCAATTCTGATCTACGCAGTCGAAAGAAATTTATACCAGAAAATAGTGGCGGTCACTTAAAAGTACCCAGGGAGCCAAGGAACTTCTAGTTAATAAGGTCAACGAGCGTATTTCCCGAATTTGTTCTCACAATTTGGTATGAGAATTGTGCCCAAGCTCTCTGATGGTCGGTTGTGTTAATTCTCGATTATGCTGTCAATTACGGTTATCAACGCACAACCCTTTAGCGAAAATTGATCTAGCGAGTTTACGAATATCTATTTAGTTATGAAAAAGCAGCGGATTAAAAATATCTGGATATTTTTACAATAACAATTAGGTGATATAATTTTATTGTCCTGGTTTGTTTGATAAAAAATATATAATGGACGGTAAGATTTTGTATATTTAGCGACATTACTATGCAACGTTTATTACTGATGTAATAAAGAATGTCATAATAGTACTTTTCGTAAATCTTTTATTCATGATCAATAAAATTACTTGTAGTAGTATATTACTATAAATCACATTAAAAAGAGTAAATAATGGACGTGAAAATACACGAGCCTTTAAACCCATCTGTGTGACTTCGGTCTCGAGGAATCCAAGTACTTCTTACGTCATCTTGTTAACAAGGTTCTGATTTACAAGTGTCATCTTACTGCCGAAAATTCTACAAGCGCTCCCAGGCAACTTCCAGTCAAAACGAGAAGAATAAAAACTTGAAGTCAAATCAATTAGCTAACATATTTTGAATTGTCGGTGGACGTTCACAAAAAAAATCTCGTTTGTAATCATAACGTGCGCGCATTGGCGCGCTGATCGTGACCGCTCAAGGTCCTCGTCGCCGCGTGCCCGTCCCTTTGGAGCACGTGCGCTTCTTCCCCGGGGCCCGATCGGTGCCAATCTCGCTCCGGCGCCGCCCGAGCGCCTTCTCCTGGAAGGCAGACGCTGCCTCGTCATGCCGGGCGCGAACCCGGGGCAAATAAGAGGATCTGAAGGTTACCGAGCTACGTGGCAGCTGCCCGGTGATGGACAGCGCGAAAAGTGGCATGGATGTGGCTGCGCGCGGCCCGACGCGGACCGCTCTCGGCATAGCCAAGTAGGAGATGATGTACGTCTAATAGGAATAGCGTGCATGATCGTGCGATTCTAATGAGCGTTGCTTTCTCGCTATCTGCAAGACGTTTGGAAGTGTTTGGCTGACTGGAATGGTAATGGATATTTTATGCCGGTCTGTGGTTGTTACTACAAACGTCTTGTGATCGTTTATTAATTGCATTCGTGATGGGTTCGAGAAAGTTTGAGCTTGAATGTTACATGTTTCTAAAAATTTTAGGTTTGTCTGTTTTATAAAAGAACATCTCGGTCCTTTTACATTTCAAGCGTATGTTTATAGAAATTTATTTTAATTATCAGTTAGAAACCGTTGGAGAAGGTACCATAGGAACGCGAACGGTGAGGTCTCGTAGTATGATGACTAGCGCACGCCTTCCAATCGCTTGGGTTCCGGGTTCGATCCCCGATCAATCGATGTGGATTATGAGGTCAAAACCTGCCCTTGATAGGCTTCCTCGAGGCTCTTTCATTTCCCTGTTCCTCTCATTCCACTAGTGCTCTATAATTCACATTATCTTTATCGCCCTTATCTATCCATTCCTAAATCACTCAGAGGCGTCTACGTCCTTTGATGTCGAAGGGTCCTTTTTCAAGAATAAATAAATGCCACTGTATTTTGTCTCTTACGGTTCGTGGCTCGTTAGGGCACTGCTCCGGCATTCGCGTGGTATTGTTCGGAGAATCCACGGAAAACTACCGATCAGAGCAGTCGGCCGCCAGAATTCTCCTCCACACAGCGACTGAATTCGACGTAGCGGACAAGCTAGTGGGGAAAATCCTGCCACCGTCGGGAGTCGAACCAAGGTCCTCCCGGTGAGAGGCACTGCAGTGACATCATTGATCCACCTCTCCCGGGAGTGGTGTAAGTCGGCGGTTTGTTATGCGCTCGCACGCGATTGTGTTTCTGCACGGCGTGGAGTGTGGCGCGGAGGGGTCGGGGTGGGCCGGTTCGCCCGAGGTCGTGCCGGAAGCCGCGACCTCTCCGCGCGCCGGTGACTGTGCGCTCGCGATTTAAGGCTGCGCCCGCCGCGCCGCGTTGGCCCGCGTTGGCGCCAGGTCCGCAGGGCCGGTTCTTCCCAGCGGCGAGCGGCGCCGGATGGTCGAGTCGCGCGTAATCCTGTCTCGTGTGAAGTGACTCCCGGGCTCCTTATGGGCGTATGAATGCGAAAAAACTGCATCATGAGGTGAAAATGGCGAGCTGTTGCTTGTCTCAGTTGCGATTAATGGAATGTGCCCAGTGGACAGTGTCGCGCGGTGTGTCTGAACTGAAAGCATATGAATGAGCTGAGAACTGATGACTGCACGAATTTCGTGATTCCTGTGGATTTACTGAAGTTACTTTTTTGGTTCATAGTAAACTACATGATAATAGAATCAGCGAAGAAATGTTTCAAAATGGTCAACATAATTGTCGCAACTTATTGTCTTTAAAAAGGAATGAATTACCGATTCGAAAAAAAAGATATCGTAATAAAGGAAAACCAAAAAAATCAGCAAGTACATATTACAAAAAAGGCATATGATTCCGGGACATTGTTTTGAAGCCAATGAGGATAATACACTATGCGTATACACTGCACCTGAAAATTTCTTATGCAACTTTTAATGTGTTGGACTTAATGAACATAGACTGCTACATACATTGATTGATGATACCACCCATAACGTAAGCATACTGCGCAAATCTTATATGACTGGGTGTCAGAACCTAACGTAAAGACTTGTCCCTGAAATGAATTACGGTAATTCCGGCTGAAGCGGCATTTTGACTCGCGTGCGCAACAGCAGCCCGCGCGGACAACGACCCCAGGTGCCGGGGGACGCCCGCCCTGCGCGGTGCGACCTATTCGCCTGCCTATCTAACGAGCGGAAATCGCCCGCAGCGGAAGTACGGGCGAAGAACGGACGCCGCTCGCAAACGCCAATTGAACGTCACCCTGTTAAGATATAGATTCACTAACCGTAAAACACTTTAGAAGGTAGCCTTAGAAAGCACTTCCTACTCGAAACCTGCCTGGGTTCTAGTGGGAAAAGTAGCAAAGTTTTGTATTCCATCAAACACCCTATAAAATTTGGCGAGTTTCTAATAATGGGATGTTGATATTCCAAAATTAACGAGAAACATATAAATTTTATTTATTTATCGAATGTGTTGACGTAACGATACGTTCGAATTACGTTTTATAAAATACGTGTAGTAAATTAAAAAAGATACCTAATCGATAACTATGAAATAAAATTCGAGATACTCCAATTATTGAAGTTGGAGACTGCGGATTCGTCGTAGGCAACATTATTTTATATTTTAACATCGCATTTGCTCCCGGTCTCATTTGTACCCATGTAGGTAACGTGAAGCAAACCGAAGGAAACGTACCAAGTAACCTTGAAACGAGTGTACAAACTCAGAACGAGTGCCACTCAAGCTTACGAGACGTTTTCAACGACGCTTTGACTGCGAGACAAAGAACAGCGCCTACTCGGGAGATCCATTGTGCCCCCCGAGCGATGAGGGCATGCGTGATCACGGCGCGTTAACCCGCGTCCCACTCCTCGGGAAATTTTCGCCGCCCGCGGAGGAGAGGTCCTCCAGCCGCCTCGCCAACTGGCCGGGCGCTGTTCAGGCCCACGCGAAAATCCACCCTCCCACCTCGCCCTCTGCCCGGCACGCGGATCTCCTTCGCAGCCGCTTTTGCCATTCCTAGCATCCGCTCGCGTTATGTGAGCAATGAAACTGATATCTGCGATGGGATACCTTAGAATGAACGTTGAATGTTGGTCTTTCTCCTGTGTTTGTAGTGTGTTGTCAAGCAAGAAAGATGTTTATTGTCGTTCGTTACTATAATAAACACAATGTTAGGATTTTAAGAGATTGTGAGTGGACCGTGATGGACAAAATTCGTGTCTCGCCTCTACTTATTTTCCCGCACATACTGAAGTTCAAGGATTTGTTGTCCACATCAATATCTTAGTCTCCTAATTGCCACTAAGCAACGGGAAAAATTTATATAATTAATTTATAATTACCAATGAGACAATCTACAATGTTTATCAATTTGATTAATGAGATATCTTTCTTGTACTTACGTATATTGTTTTTATGTGTTTCAGGTGAGTTGATAGTGCTGTGACAAACAGATATAGCTGCGTTCGTGAGTATATACATTACCTAGTAATAGAATTTTACTTCAAGAATTGGACGAAGATCTATTTCGTGAGTATTGAAACACAACTACAGAACCTGTACAATGATTAACGGATGGAATGAAAACAATATTATGTAAATAAAAGTATCTATGCATCTCATGATTTGTGATGAGTTTCAGTATCTGAAAACTAGTATTAATGAGTTGTCAAAGAAGGTATATTTTCGCTAGTCAGAGACGTTGGCTCGGGCTCAAACGAGTTTTGAAATGAAGAACGTACGTTTTTTGGACCTCCGTTCGCCTGCCGTCATAGCATAATATCTAGAGATATTCGATGACAAATGCCGCATCAAGGCCAGTTTGGATAGTACGTGATCCGGATTCTGATGACCGTAGATCCGGTTCTGGTGAGAATTTTAAATTCTCCTCTTACAGAGATGTCTGTGGTGTCTGGTCTTCGTTGGATGGACATGACCGGGTGCCCTAGATAACATGTACGTAACGATCGCCTTCGACTGTATATTTACGGGCGTTTGATTCCGCTTTTCTCGGGTTATGCAACTCTCATGCCAGCACACGCGATGACAGAGAAGTAAAAATCGGCTCAATGTCTTCATCAGGGAGAATTTATGTTTGTGAATTCATTAATCTTAACCAGAACCTGCTATTCTATGTAAGGATTCACGTAAATATGCTAAAAATGACCTTATAAATATTGTAGGTTTTCTTAGTTGTGCGACTGGTTTAATGATATGCACGTGTTTCCTCGTGGTTGAATGTTTTGGGAGCCAAAACAAGGTGCACAAAATCCATTAGAGAGCGCTAATTAACCGAAAGGAAAGCTCAGAAACATCTAGAAACCCAGCTTCCTATTGCGTCATGAAAATTTCTCCCACGAAGTGGCCATTAACTTACCAGTGCATCTCGTCCGCTCAGTCGCAGGCGCGGAGGCTGGGACTTCTTAAACGAAATCGCTTGTAAGCGGCGGGGCTCTCGCCGCGGCTGGCATACAAGATAGCCGCTGCACTGATTTAGCGCCGCGCGCACGGAAAGCAGAGTGGAAAGTGAAAACGGCATCGCATTTAACACACCACGCGTTGATAGAAAATGAATATAACATGTGGGGAGGGGACGAATATTTTTAAATCCAATTATGGATGTATCGTGTATAAAAAGAAGGAATTCTTTTACAAATTTTACTTAGAAATGTAGCATTTCAAATTTACGTATCATGAAGCACGATTGTGTGGCAACAATTGCCATTTTTAAGTTGAGGACATGACTCCAGACATTTGATGTATTTTTTATTTTAATAATTATCGTTCAGTTTTTGATAGTAAAATAATCGTGAAAAAATCTTCGTGCTTATATTGTTTTCGGTGTGTTACAGATTTGAAAAATACTTAGAAAATTTAATTTTAACAGTCGAGGTTATAACAGAGGAAAAAAGTTTCAGCGCTGACGTTTCTGTGAGAATGTTGAGCCACATGGTAGGCAGTGGACTGCAGTTGGCGTAAGCGTTCTCGCGACCGCCTCTTGCGCGCCGCGTCGCTCGAAACGGCGGCGGCCGGTGGAAAAACGAGCCCTTCGGTGGCGCGCGGCTGCGGCGTAGCAAAGCGAAAACACTTGTCGCGATCGGCCGCCGTCGCCGTGCGAGGGGCAGGGCCGGGGGCGGGGCAGGGGGCGGCCCGGAGGTGGGGTTGACTCGGGGGGAGTCCAGTCACTTGGAGCGAGAAGATTGATCACCAGCGCTTACCGCCGTCGCCGTGCCCACGGTTGTCCTCAGCAGTCGCCTTCTGCAGCTCGCCGCCCCCCCCCCGCAGCTTACAGCATCTGCTCGCGTCGGTTGTCAGCCGCAAGGGCAGTGTTTCTGCCGCCTCCGAAGAAAAGTATCAATATTTCTTACCGATGTGTAGGGCCCGATTTACTAATTGCCTCCGGAAATAATACTCGAGTAACCTGCAAACGTCCGTCACTCACAGCTAGACCCCTTAATGTCTGCCAGTTGAGACAAATGAGGTGTTCTCTCGACACCTCTCTGTGACCTGGTGGGGGAAAAGGTCATTTTTTGCCAAACCATTCAGAAGGCTATAAGAAAAATGTGTAAAAAAACTTGTTTTTTAACAACTAAAAAGCATTTTGGATGACTTACAACATCTAAAGAGGTGGCCAGTAGCTCATTCTATTCCTCGCGTCGAGACAAATTGATTGTCACAATTCTCAGCCGGTTCCTTTTTGGATATTTTGAGGAAATTCTAAAATTCACATGTTTGTCAATGATTTTAATGCGAGTACATTGGTAAAGCGCTGTGAATTACATCTACGCTATTTTTTACATTTACATGATTAGTAACGATTCCATTCATGAGATTTTCAATAATTAAACATACTTTCGTAATGAAACCAAAATGTGAACAATTATAACAATCGACACATTTTCATGTAACTTTCTACGCTCTAAAATGGGCAACTGTAATATACTTAAAATTTATTTTTATTGTGTACTTGCAAAGCACAAATCAAACTGCAAACAAGAGAATATGCACCGGAGGTGGCACGCAAAGCTAGTTGGGATATTAAAGTATTGATATTTTCATTATTTATTGCTGACGATAAAAAAAATTCAAAAGAATAAAATAATTGTGTGGGCTACGATGGAGGGGTGAGAGTACTGTTGGTCTGGGTACTAAAGCCACTAGTGAGCTATGAAAAAATGGAGGAATACGTACTGTATTCCTTTCCACAAGATTCGATATCTTCAAAAGTTTAAACTTGAGACTGAACTCTCTGAACCTTTCCTTTGTGGTAAAACCACAAGTTCTACGACAGCAAATAAAAGGAATATGCAAATTTAATATTGCGCTATTAAATGTAGCCCATCGCTTGCACTGGTTGAAGTTCTCCCGCCTCTGTCCTCTGCTTTGCTGATTCGGTTTACTTTTCGAGAGAATATTCTTCTTGCACCTCCCTCCATTTCCTGTCTCTCTCCGTCCACCGTCGTCCACCAGCGCTTGGCCGCCGTCGGAGGCCGGAGGAAGGGCGAGCGGGCGCTCCCATGCATCACTAGGCTGCTGCCACTGCCCACTACCGCCAGCGACGCCCACCCCAACGCCCGGCCGGCCGCCCGGCTGGCCGTCAAGGCGAAGGCCGCTGGATGGCGCGGGGATGCGGGCCCCGCCGGGCGGCCCGGCCGCCGCCGTGCGAGAGACGGCAGAGACAAACGGCGCCGCCCCTCGTATTTGTAAACAAGTTGCGCGCGCCCGACAGAACTACACCCAGTGCCGCAGCTGCGAATTTCTTCCCTCGGCCTCGATGCCCTTTCCCGCCCTCTCTCCCCCCCACCTCCCTTCTCGCTACGCTCATAATATGACACGCCACCCAAGTCCCAGCGTACACGCCCCCCTCCTCCCAACGCCCTCTCCCGCCCAGGGACCAGCTCGCCTACGCCCAACTACCATCGTCCCGCCATGTTATGCCTTCCTCTCACCCGACCCCTCCAGCTCAGTCCCTTCCCGTCCCGACCAGTCCTGACCCACCCTGTCCAGTCCAGTAACCCCCGTCTAGCCCCACCCCATCCAGTCCCGTCTCGTCTAGTCTCGCCCAGCCAATCTCTGGTCCGCCCAGCCTCGCCCTGCATCGCTCAATCCTGCTTACCGAACAGCCCGCGCCTTCAAAATGCCCAATCATAGGAAGAACATTGGGAAATGCAGAAACGTATGTTTTGATAGGAAAAATATCTTGCAGTTATCAGGTTTGATTAGTTAAAATATGATTCTGCTCTCGTGGACATTCATTTACCCCTTCACATTGTTAATCCATCCCTGTTCTATCACGTTCTCTTAACAACTCTCTCCATAGGCCTTGTTCCGCATCCAGAATGCTCTTAAAAGTAGAAGTGAATCCTCCATATGCTGTGCTCATGATCACATATTGCGTTCGCAGCTCCTGGACTTCTAAGCAAAAATATATTATCTGGATATTATTAGATGACATAATAACAAGAGGAATCTATCTTGTATCATATGGAAATTTCGCGAAGAAACTTCTCAGAAATTCTAGGGAATGATCATACAATATCAGCGAGCGAATTGTTTGGCCACCTTGGTATCCGTACCCGTACCACGAGCCCTGCGTGCGCACCAACGCCCTCCCTCCCTCCCTCCCTGCCCTCCACGTCAAACGACGTCGCAGCGGAGGTCCCTATGTTGACAAAAACGCGCGCCGCCGCCGCCGCCGCCGCCGTCCCCGGCTACAGCCCCCCATCCGGCTGGCGGGCGCGAGGCGATGGCTGAAACATGTGTTCGCCTCCCCTCTCCCCCGCCGCGTTGTCTGCAAGCTTTTTCCAACGCTTGTTTCGCCTAGCGACGGGGGGAAAATAGTGCTTGCGAACGGTTACGCGCACTTTTACGTCCCATATAGTTTTTATTGGCAACATGTGTTAGAAAGAAAACAAAATGACCGCAGCAGTTTTACTTTATTACTTTACTCTTCGTAATAAACTTTGTAATTTTTATATGCATTACTGCTCACGAATTACTGTTGAAAAAAGTATGGCTAGTGCAAAATAATTATTTCAATTTTTAAACTAAATTGATAATTTTAGTTTGATCGTCGCTTCTAAGTGCATTGTTGATTCGTTTTAATTATGTAGCACAATGTACGTAATTAAAATTAAATATCTGAAAATCTGTATTTAGAAACGGAAACATCTTTTTAAGTGTCGATGAGTTTTAAAATTGGATAAAATGATAGTTGTTAAAATATTAATCGTATTTTTTGATATATTGGCACACCATACTCCCACGACTCTTTCTTGAATTGTGATTGATACTTGAGAAGGGAAAAGTTAGAAAGTCAGAGTGTCTCTCAACCCCGGTCGCCCTCCCTAGCTGCGTCCGACGGGTTCTTCCCTTGGGGGAGGAAGGGGCGCGCTGTAGGGGCTGAGATGTTTACGTCGGGGTTGATGGAGGGACGTGACAAGTGCAGCGCGCTGGCGAAGGGCAGGGTGACCCAGAACCTGCGGGGGTGCGCCACATGTGGACGGCGGGAAGAGCTCCCGTAG